TTACACTGACAAGGGCAGAGGGTTGAAAAACTACTGACAGATTTCAGCTGCTGTCTGGGCTTTCACTGCCTTTCTACACATTCCTTTTTTCATTTGTTCAATGATTTTTCTTGTCATTTAATTTTATTACACATAACTTTAGTTGTTAACTAATTAGACTTGTTTTCTTTATATATACTGTGAATGTATTTCTTTGGTTGTTATCAACATCTGGTAAAAATTTTAAGTCAACGGCACCTTTAGACGTATGCTGTCTGAGAAAATGGTGACATGTTGAATTCTTATTTACCCTACGGTATATATTAATTGTCATTGCGATAATAAAAGTAGTTTTTTCTTTGTGAAGGATTTTTTGATGATTTTTACTTCATCCTATGCAGTAATAGTTTAATTCTGTATGCTTTATCCATTTGATTCATTAAATGAATTTAAATTTATTTGAAGCCTCTGACCGATCATTGAACCTGGGGTACTAGGGGATAGTCCAAAATTTGTCATAATATTGCAGTAAAACCTAAAATATTTATTTAAATACTTCATTGATGAAATTTTTTGATAATAATTGGTGACAGATTGTGGATAACTTTGTACATGTTTAAACAATACTGAATGATTTCAACAGTTGATTGCTGTTTGATAAGTCAACACCTAATGTAATTAATGACTTTATAATTATAAAAGCTAGAAATTTAAAAAGACCCTTTTTGTCAATGCCAAATTCTAAAATCTTATTTGGATAACTTAAATTTATAAGCAGTAATGCGGCCTCTCAGGTAGTCTTGTCATTTGTTTGACAATCTTTCTTTTGGCCCACCGACAAATAGTCAAGGACGTTCAGCCTAATGTTATGTTGAGTTCTGAATCTCAGGCTATGCTTTTCTGATTTCCTTTTGTTCTGACATTTAACTGTCAAGATATCTTGATCCACCGTATCTCTGTTTACTTCCTCTAGTGCTTTGCTGTCTTTATCCCTCTATCTGTTTGTCTGCCTTCTGAAGCAAGTGTGTTGCTGGGTGTCAAGGTGGGAGACTGATTTAATTTAAATGAGTGCCGGCTGCCGATTGGCTGAATGTTTCCATGCCTGTCCCCTACATCAGGAGTAGGACATGGCAGATACTTGAGGATATGCTTTACCTGCATGTCAAATCATGTGAATCCCTGCTATATTCACCTTATTTTTCGCCGATGAGCGGGCGCAGCCATTTGAATCTTTTTGGCTCAAGACTTCCAGTCTTATTCATTTCCATTCATTTTTAGACATTAAAAACTGCTTGTTTCGCTGTTTGGTGTTATAAACTAATATTTTCTTATTGCATTATTTCACTTGGTCTGTAATGTCATGCAAACATTTGTTTGTAGAGCAAGTAGTTTGACCGTTTTCTGCCGTTTATTATTCCTAGTCATTTCTCCCATAGGCGACTGAATCGGACGTTCTAAAACAATCGCGAAAACAGGCGCACTTCTGCATTGTAGAATAAGGTCAATAGGCAAAACCAGAATAAAGGGAGTAGTAGTGTGGCTAAATATGTCAAACAATGTTTTTAATCTCTTAAACCAGTTCATGAAATGTGTATCCAATGAACACATTACTTAAATACTTGTTTGGGTGGGTATACATATTCTGATCTCGCAATCTAATATTACTGTATGAAATAAGCTTATGCAATATATGTATGAATTTGAAAGTAGACAATGACCTGAGGCATCATTTAATTAATATCATTAATCATTAACTTGTAACAAAACAAAGCTGAATGCTGAAAATTTGTTTTAGAATAAAAAAACTGGTGAGAACTTTGTTTTCCACTTTCATTTTTATTTATTTATTTATTTTTGCTTTCAAATAGGCCTGTCTTGAAATGTATTTTTGGTTGTACAATATGTTGGACCAAAATATATTGCGTTAAATATTATTGTCATTTTAAGACCATTGTATGCCACTCATTATATAATGGCAGAATGAAAATATATCATCGCAATGCAAGTACACTCTTCCAAAGAACACATACTATTTTATTTAATTATAGTCATTTTAACAATTTATTAATTAGGCATTGGAATCAGAATGTGAAAATGCATGTCCTAAATATATGATAATAAATGTTAACAAAAAAGTGCAAGGTTTTGAGGCTGCAATATCTGCTACCAGATCTGTTTTCAGTTGTCAGACACCCAAATGAAAATATGCACCATAAAGTAATTTATGGTAAATACTATAGTGATAGTGATATTTTAAAACCATACTGACACTGTCACCTCCAATAGAGATAGAGAGGTTCAATCAGCTAAAATGTTGCTAGAATTGTTTAAGGGCGATAAATATTGCATCATCAAAAATTATTTTAATTTATTTTAATAATTTCCATGTGTTGTGTGATAAGTCGATATTGATTATTGTGACTGGCCTACTTTCAAACCAAACTTACCACTTTAGAAGGCAAAGTGTAAATCCTGCCCACTTCAACAGAACAACAAAGACAAGCTCTAAACCTTTCAGGCCCAGTTCACACCTGTACATCTTTTGTGATGGGATAAATAAATACATCTTAATATCAGGTATAAACCGGGTCTTTTAAGAAATACTAATGTTTTAAGAGCTAACGGAGGATTGGGACGTAATGAGTATGAAGACGTGCCAAACATTCCTTTATCCCCCTTCAGTGTAAACACTGTGAAATCTGGGGTTAGCTACTCTGACACAATTCATACTGCAATGACTTTAATTATGAAAAAAAAAAACCTCCTTGTGATTCAGGAATGGGGACAGAGACTGTGTAAACCTCCATGTGAGTGTGATTTAAGAATTGTGTGTGCGTATTTAACTGTTGAAGGCCAGTAAGCTTCTGTGGGTGGTTTAATGATATTTAGCTAATGCAGCTGCACTGAGTTTTTTTATTTATTTTATTTTATTTTTTTATTTATTTTTTAAATAATGAATTGTTCTCCACTCTTGACTCTTTTTAAAGGATCATGTGAAAATGAGAACTGCAATAGTAGCTGCTGTAAGACAAAAAATCTGTCAAATCTACTGGGCAGTTCATTACCTACATTTATTGCTTTAGCAGACACTTTAATACAAAGAGATTTGCAAATGAGGATAAAAGAAGCACTTTAGAAGGCAGCAATATAGCAATATATGCCATGATATATATATATATATATTTAATACTTTTATAAAGTCCTTGTAGTAAAGTTTTGATAAAGGTGTCTGGTACACATGGAGAGGAAAAAAACACAAGTGGTTTGTTTAGTCCACTCATCTGCATGAAGCACCCTCAGAATTGCACAATGTATTCACAGAAACATAAAGTGTTTGTAAGAAAGTGTCTGGTGCAAATGGAGAGGAAAGAATTGGCAATTTAAAATGTCAATTCTAATATTGTCAGTCAAGTCACTGTCAAACTACAGTTAAATAGAGACATTTTCAACAGCAAAGCTAATGTTGAGTCTGAACGATAAATAATTCATAAATAAACAGCAGAAAAAGCTTTTTATTAAGGTTAATCATATAATAATATACAACATTTAATGTATGCAACTTTAAATTAAGTTTTTTTTTTTTTTAACAGTGAGCTTGAACTGATTTACAATATTTAAAATAACAAAAATACTAATTTTAATGTGCTTTCACACCTGTAGATCAATTGTTTTGTTTCAAAACAGTGATTAAAATTGTTACAATGTTTATTTCTGTTCTTGGTGCAGTTCGTTTTTGCACTGCAAAGTTTCTAAATAGAACAAAATAGCTAAAACAAGTCAAGTACGAGTCAACTCTCCTCAAATAGGTCAGAGTTCTCCTGTTTATTTTTCAGTCATGCTCAGCTTTAATTTTTGTTTATGAGCAACAAGACATTATAAGCAAAAAGCTGCCCTTTAATTTTGAATGGTGACACCCACAGCATTATAGGCTTTACATTATAGAGAGAAAACAGATAAACCAAGATTGCAGTTCTGTCGATTTCCCTTACTGATAAACAGCTCTCGTTAATACTTCAGCGTGATTTCACTTTTGTATTTGACATGAAACGCACATTTACCGGTAGGAATTATGACATCCCGCCCTAATCATCATCCTCTCTTTATATAGCTATATACTGTATACCTATTACTAATCAATAACACACAATGATATAGCCTGGTTCGGTATAGTTTGTTTGATCACATTGCTTTCTCACTACAATCAATCCGCTCCAGAGTTCGTTTTAATCAAGCATAGACCACCTCATTCAGGCGATCTCAGACAGATTGTTTTGGTGCAGATCTGAGCACGATTGCTTATTTCACTTTTACTAAACGAATGGGGGAAACGTGCCAGGTTCCAAAGCAAAAGTCTAGGTGTGAAAGCACCCTTAGTTTGTAAAATATAAAAATTGCTACTTTTTACTGTATTTATTAATCAAAATGAGTGATTCTTATTTGTATCATTAAAGGTTTTACATTTTAACTGACTAAACCTGTTTTAATGTCCTTATCTTTAAAAGAAAGGAGCCTTTTAATATAAAAATCACATCATGATTGTATGAAGTGTGCATGGCAGTCTTGCTCTTTACAGAATGCTTAAGACAAAAAACATAGTAAACAAAGACTATTGTTTTATTACATTGACATGAGTAATCAAATTAAATATAGGTTTAACCAACCTGCTTTTGTTTTGTAGTAATTAATAACCAATTATACAACAATTGTTTCTTTGTGAACCGTTTTCCCAGGGTGTGTTTGTTTGGATAAACAGAAAATGATGTAATTGAGGTCAGCTAGCCTAAGCATTAAGATATGTTGTTGACATTTCATGTCTTCTGCCTTTATTTCATTAATCTGCACAATCAATTTATGTAATTGGAAACTGCTGCTTGTTACTTTGTTTAGAGCTGGAATGTTTAATATGATAAATCTTTTCCATTTTGATGTAAACTTAGTGTTTGTTTCCCATGATCAAGTCGCAATAATATTCAAAGTAATGTGCTTTTTCCTAATCACAATCTCTGTTTGTTTCTCTGCAGGGCCGACATGTCAAAACAGGTCAACTGGCTGCTATCAAGTGCATGGATGTCACAGGGGTGAGTTCATTTTCATCATATCTTCTGTATTGACCTCTATTTATTTTCGAAGTTCTTTCACAGACAAGACGTCAAAGCCTCTTGAAGAGTCCTCGGCTCAAATCACAAATCTTCAGGCTTAGCTGGTCTTATTTTTGACGTTTTATTATAGCCATATATCCTCCGGGCTTAGTTTCTTCCTCATTTATTCTCTGGGTGATAAAGTATGACGTCTTCCTAATCACCTTTTAGCATCCTCCTTTATAACAGTGGGGAAAAGATAATAAAAAAACAATAATGTCTTCTGTAGAGTTGTCTAAAACGACAGTCTGTTTTTGTTTATTTTGAAAGCAGTTGCATTTGAATCAGTATTTCAGCCACGGCTGGTCTTTTTACGGCAGATTTTTCCAATCTCGCCTTTTATTTTTAATCTAAAGTCAATTTAGCATTTAATAAGCTGTTGTAGATTTTGAAATACCATAGCGAATTCAATTCACAGGCTGTTATGGTTTTCACTGGCCACCGTTGGATGTGTTTGTAATGGCTTGTGCCTGCCCCTCGTTATTTCAGGGTGAATAGCGCTTGATTAGCGGATTGACTGGATCCTTGTTTTGTAGCATGAAACGGCCTCCCTGTACTGTTTATATGATGGACTGTGGCTACTACAAAACCTTTTCTGCTGGGTTTATAGATGTAGTGTCTTAAAATGCTTGGGATGCAGTACAGGTTGACAGTACTGCAGATTTGAGACATACTTTGTAGTACATCTCAACAAACTCTTTTAAAATGGATTTCAAAGACTAGAAAAGTCATTATTTCTAATCAACAGCTTTTTTTAGTGCATTATACACAACAGATTGTTTCAAATAGTTTTACAGACAGTAATAAAGAGGAAAATTGCAATTATGTAAGCTTTATAAAATATGAGAAATTCTTTTGTCAAATAAGTTTTATTGAAGACAAAGATTCAAGATGAAAAGAATTCTGTCTACATATTTTATCCGCATATAACATAGGCCTGCAAATTAGTTATTTGTGACTTACATTTTTTCAATAACTTCTCCAAAAACTCCATTTATCGACTTTTTATTTTATAGTATTTAGTAGGCAATTCCAGATCCAATAGCATGATCGGAAATCAGGCCCAATCATGCGGTTTCAGACTCGATCGGAATCAAACTTTAACTCCCGATCAGGACTCAAATATATAGGTGAATTACTGATTTGAAAACATTCAGGATGTGGAAAAAAAAATAATAAAAAAAAAAAAAAAAAAAAAAATATATATATATATATATATATATATATATATTAGTAAAAATGAAATGCATAGAAAATCCTTTAAATACTTAATGGAGTTGTGAGGGCACCCTGCCGTCAGATTGGATTGTTCCTGTAAATTAGTGTTTGACCTGTAGTGAATGAGCGCGCAGATAAAGAGAGTTGTCATTAGCTCAGATCGCCGTTCATCAGCATGATCTTGAGAAGAGCTCATTGAATTGAGGACCCTAACAGGCTCCCAGAGGGACACTCTAGTAAAGATGTCATTCATGGGGCCAAGAGCTAATCTTGCGCTCTCTGCCCTCCATCTACTTCATGTAAAAAGCACCTGCATTTGTAAGTGGGCCAGAGTGGTCTTGCAGGCCTCTAGCATTACTCCAGAAAGTAGAAATTGTGAGCTATCCCGTCATCTCCTGCTTGCTTGTGTCTTCACAGGAGGAAGAGGAGGAGATCAAAGCGGAGATCAACATGTTGAAGAAATACTCTCACCACAGGAACATCGCCACCTACTATGGTGCCTTTATTAAAAAGAACCCACCCGGCGTGGACGACCAGCTGTGGGTGAGTAACATGACCCTCTGTGTCAGTAGACATGGAGGAAGAGCATATTCATCTGTGACCCACACACACACTGCCCTGTGTGTATGTGATATTTTGGGGGGGGGTGTATCAATGATAAATGGGGCATAGGTGAACATTGATGAGCTGGAATCAAAGCGCTATTGTCTTGCCTTCACACATTTTGTCCTGAGAAGAATATTTGGAAGTTTTAGAACTTTGTAAAGGCTGTGAGATCTTTTTATAAACATTTAAATATGTCTTTATGTTGCCACCATGTTTTGGGGTTGACCAGTACAGGTCTCCAAACGCTATGCAGAGATAGTAATCAACATTTAAAGTGGATCAAAACTTTCCTCAAAGTTTTCCTAAAACCAAAATGTGTACCTGTTCTCATCTTATGAAGGCTTTTGAATATTTTTGATCCACTTCAAATGGTAACTGCTGTAGAGCAAATGTGCTTTGAAATCCTAGTCTCGTTTATAAAGAGTATGCAATATCCATTTATATCTTCGATCTATTAGCATCACACATTTAAGCTAATCTTATCTTTTAAACTCATGGTGTACATCATGGTTTCATCTACAGCTACCTAAACACCAAACTTTTGAACTGTCTAAAGATTGCTCCTCTTTCTCTCCATGTGGGTATTTGGTATATAGATATACACGTTTGCGATCAGGATTTTCTGTAGTATTATTTGTGTGCTTGAGTTTGTTAATTGTAATGAGACTAACATAAAGCTTTTTGTTTATACTGTATGTGACAATCTCGTTTTTCAACCACACCTACATTGCACCAAGTTAAATACATCTCATGTTTTGAATATGCAGCTAGCGCAGTGCATGTCTTGTGATAAGAAACAACCAATCAGCTTCCCCGATTGTATGGTTTATATTCACTTCAGTAGTAACTGTAGTGTAGTTACCTCAGAGAAGCACGAAGCACTCAAACACTGTTGCCTTTAACTTTGTCCATAATTAAGTGTTGTATCAGAACTACAGCAAGGGTATGTCAGTGGTGGTGAATCTGAGAGTGCAGCTGATAGTTGCTTAGCCATGACAGACATCACAGAAGCAAAAGCTCATAAGTGCATTAAAATAGTTTGGTTTAGTTGTTTTTTTTTTTTTTATTTATTTTTTTTTAGTTTTTATTTTAGTTTTAAAGCACTTTAAAAACTGTTGAATGGCTGACCAAAATGCTGTACATAAATACAAGATAAGACTTAAAGTTGAAGTCAGAATTATTACCCCCTCTATTTTTTTTCCCAATTTCTGTTTAACATAGAAATTTTTTTTTCAACACATTTCTAAACATAATAGTTTAATAACTAATTTCTAATAACTGTTTTTTATCCTTGCCATGATGATATTAAATAATATTTTATTAGACCTTTTTCAAGTCACTTCGATACAGCTTAAAGTGACATTTAAAGGCTTAACTAGGTTAATTAGGTTAACTAGGCAGGTTAGGGTAATTAGGCAAGTTATTGTATAACGATGGTTTGTTATGTAGACCATCGAGAGAGAAAAAATGCTGCTTAAAGGGGCTAATAACTTTGACCATAAATTGTTTTTTTTTTTTTTTTAAAACTGCTTTTACTCTTGCCAAAATAAAACAAATAAGACTTTCTCTTGAAGAAAAAATATTATCAAACATGCTGTAAAAATGTACTTGCTCTATTAAACATAATTTGAGATATCTAAAAAAAAAAAAAAAAAAAATCAAAGGGGGCTAAAAATTCTGACTAAACTATATTTCCAGAAATCCAGAAAAATCAATAAGAGTAGGCTGCTTAATACAGTGTTGTCAGACAAATTAAAAAAAAAATTCTAAAACATACAGACCAATAATTCTTAAAAGTGAAGGAAAACAAATGAGCTTTAGGAAGAGATTTGAAAACTTATAAAAAGGGGAATCCTTTATTCAGCATTGAATAAAAAATTTCCACATGTTAAGGTTGCAAGAGCTTAAAATATAGGAGGGTTACAGGGATGCAGAAGATCAGGTGGATATTTTGGAGCTGCTTTATTTAATCATTTGAACACAAATAAAATAATTTTTAACTGTTTTAAAGTTGACTGGGAGCCAGTGGAGGGGGCATAGAATAAGGATGACGTGGTTATATTTGCGACCATTTTCAAGACATTTGGATGCAAAATTTGACTGACTGACTTGAGATTTTGAGATTTCGTAAAATTGCAGTTATCCAAAAGCAAGTGGGAGACATGGTGGCACAGTGATTAGTACTGTTGCCTCACAACCTGGTCAGTTGGCATTTCTGTGTGGAGTTTGCATGTTCTCCTTGTGTTTGCGTGAGTTTCCCCTCAGTGCTTCGGTTTCATTAACAGTCCAAAGACATGCGCTATAGGTGAATTGGGTAAGCTAAATTGTCCGTAGTGCATGTTTGTATCCCCAAGTCCTCCAGATTGGGGGTTGAGTGTTGGGCTAACAACTAACCTCATGAAAACTAGATGATACGAAACACCAATCAGGTGTGACTAAACATCCACTGTTGAGTAAGTAAGTAAGTAATCCAAAAGCAAAGGTATGGAATTTTGGATAACTCGTGTGATTCATCAGACAAAATGTGTTGATCTTCTCTAGTCGGTCTCACAGACTAACTAGATGACTTATGTGATTGACAAATATGAGTGGACCTATTCTGATAAATCTATGAATGGCACGCTTGCAGTAGTCAATGAACAATACACTCTGTTAAGATTGTTTTAACCTAAAGTCAGTAACAATCACAATTCTAAGGTCAGAAAGGGTTTTCCCTATGTCTGCTGTCTGGACTTTGCTTCTTCGATCTGTACTTTCCCTCTCTGTCCACTTCTCTTCTCTGCTGAAAGACAGGACAGGTCTGATAGCGGCAGGGTAATTTGTGTTGTTTATCAGCGGCAGCAGGGACACACAGGGGTGCATAGACGCAGCGCTGCACCAATAAAGATAGACATCACAGGAAATGAAGTGCATTTGTGACACATGTGGCCACTGAGTGACAGTCTTTGAATGACCAGACCTTTCGGATGAAGGGTGAAATTCCCACTGCTGTGAGGCTCGAGGGCCACAGACCTCCTCAATATTCTTTCTGACCTGCCAATCAAAATCCAGAAGACAAAGGATGAGAGAAGGAAGCTCTTTGCATGATCAAGTGATTTGAAAGCCACATTCAAGTTTGGCGCTGTCCTCTTGGCATTCGTGTTTCCAAAGGAATTCATTCACTCCTGCCGATTGCATAAGCACTTTCTATTTTACGAGCGCTCGCACCAGTTTGGCCTTAACACAGCAGTTAGTGCTCTGAACTTCGAATTAAGCTCGAAGCCTATAAATTAGCCCTTCAGTTTTGTCTGAGCGCACAAAGATTAGTTTGCAGCACATTGCACATTTTATTCAGACTGAAGCAGAGGCAATAAAAGGCTGCCCTTTAAAAAAAGACCAGCTTACAGCAGCATGTCGTTTTGACGTTTCTTTAGGCTGCTGTTTTTGCTGGTTTGTGCTGCTGTGCTAGCTGTTAAAGGTCTTGTTCTGACATCAGGGTTGGCTAAAAATCTTGTTGGTTTAACACGGATGAGAGGCTGTGCTCATGAATATGTGATGCACAAATGGGTTTTGAGATCTTTTCAATTATTTCTGATTGCTAATAACTTTCTGAAAGTGCATCTGCTACTTTTGTAGTTCATTTATTATTTCTCTAAGGATGCATCTCAAGTTTTGTACAATAATTTATTTATAGTAAGCTACTGTACACTACTTTTCAAAGTTTGAGATAAATATTTTTATACTAATAATAATAATAATAATAATAATAATAATAATAATAATAATAATTTAAAGAAATAAAACTCATACTTGGTTACATTTTGTTTAATCAAAGATGCAGTAAACCAGCATTTTTTTCTGATATTATATTATATTATATTATATTATATTATATTATATTATATTATATTATATTATATTATATTATATTGTATTATATTATATTATATAAAATTGTATTATATTGTTTTATATTATATTATTTTATATTACATTTTATTTTTCATTTTATTTTATTTTACATTATTTTATTTTATTACATTATATTTTATTATATTATATTTTTTATTTTGTTAATTTGTATTAGTTTTTTTTTGCAATATGAAATAACAATTTCTTATGTTAATATATTTTATTTATTGCTATTATTACTATTATTATTATTATTATTATTATTATTATTATTATTATTATTATTATTATTACTATTATTAATAATTAATATTATTATTACTGCTATTATTACTGGTTATTACTTCACTACTACATCTATACTTTACCTCTTTAGTTGTGACCTGTATCTTCAGATATCAGTCTAATATGAATATAAACATTTTACATTTATTATCAATATTAAAAACGGCTAACCTATTTTATTGAAAACATTTTTTTTATTATTATTGTTTATTCTCAGTTACTAAATGGCAAGTTCATAAAAACCATATTTCTTAGGAAAAGTGGCCATGAACCACAAAGTCTTGTTCAAAATGATTGATTTTTTTGGTTTTATCAAAAATATTGGTGGTGTTTGAGGAGATTCCTCCAATGTGTAAAGCAATTAAATTGCCTAGAAAAGCGTTATATAAATGTAGGGAAATATTATTAAATATTATAAAAATATTGATTCTATTATTTTTTAGTGCCAAAAATCATTTGAATATTAAATAAAGATTATGTTCCTTAAAAGCGTTTTGTAAATTTCTTTCTGTAAATACATCAAAACTTTTTGGTTGTTATGCATTGTCAAGAACCTAATTTGGACAATTTTTAAAGGTAATGAACTCTCAAATTTCAGACTTAAAATAATTGTATATCAGAAAATATGTTGTCCACCCATAACAAACCATACATCAATGGAAAGATTATTTATAAGATTATATAGGTCCGCACAATTTCTGCAGATTTTTAACCCATCATCGAGTCTATTTATTTACTTATAAATGTGTATAAATTGATAT